GTGTGTGTGTGTGTGTGTGTGTGTGTGTGTGTGTGTGTGTGTGTGTATGGGTGTTTGTTGTGTATTGGCTAGCTAAAGCCCTCTGGCTGACTCCTCTTTGCCCAGATAGAGGCTTAGTGAAGTGACCCAGACCAACGGCCTTAAGCAGGAATGGTGGAGTGGGTATGGAGAAGAACGTTGATGCTGCTGCTACCCTCAAGCGTCTTGCTCAACTACATGTGCAAATGTACAAGAGTGCATGTGGGCAGTGTGAGAAATGTAATCAATGATGTTCAACTTTTCAACAATAAATTTACACTTTGACATTCTGACCATCAGAAAATCATCATGGAATTTCATTTGAGAAATACATGGATTTCTCACCAAGTATATGTTGAAGAAGATGCCGTAGTGCAGCTCAGGAAGGTTTAATCAAGTAAGTCTGAGGCATCAAAAAGTGATTCCGTACTGGTGATCAAGGAAAAGAAGCTCTTTTGTTGCTAAAAAAAAAAAAAAAACACCAATTATGCCAGGCTGCCTGGAGACTTTAAATAACAGGTTTGTTTGTATCATAAGAAAACTGCTGTGGCGCAATACCATTTTGTCTTCTTAAAAAAAAAAAAAGACTGACATTTTGGGAAACACGCTTATCTGCTTTCTTGAGAGTTAAATGAAAAGATCAATAACAATCTCACATCTACAGATGGGTGAGAAATTAAAAGAAAAATCAACATGAAATGTCTTGGTAAGGTAACGACATTTATTCTCCTAGTCTCTGGAGCTATTCTGTAGGCATGAACACCATTCTTCCAAAAGATAATGCATCTTTTGGTGTTTTGATGATGGTGGTAGAACACGTTGCACCAAAATCTCCCATAACTGCTCCATTGGTTTGAGATCTGGCAACTGAAGGCCACATGAATCAAACCATTCAGTGACAGCTTGGACCCTATGGATGGAGGCTTTGTCGTGCTGGAAGACTCTGCTCCTATTACAACAGAAATGTTTCATCACAGGACAACAGTGATCACTCAGAATAACTTTGTATTGATTTGCAGTGATCCTGCCCTCTAAGAAAACAAGTGGCCCCAAACCATGACAGCAAAACCTCTCCTTCAATTTGTCACTCATCTTTATATACGCTACAGCTGGCAGTGAGGTTGCTTAGCTTCACACCAAGACCAGAAACAGTCAAAAGGCTCTTAAAAACAGAAACCCCAAAATGTCTTATATAAGTAACAAGAAGGTGAGTAAGCATATGCTCCAAAATGCCAAACTTCTCCTTTAATAATTCATAATCCTCTGTCTTAGAAGGTTGTGTTATTGTGTTGAAGTGCTGTAAATACTTTCTCCATCTTTCATTTATTTATGGGAAGTCAAACTCTCACTCACCCTTTTTGTGTTATTGTTTATGAGTAATTTATTCCTGCATCATCGTGGCAGTTTGCTTGCAATAGTGTTAGTGGCCCGAAGCTGCAAAATTACTATTATATAACTTGTGAAAACTATAAAATAATAATCCCCTCTGTTTCAAGGGTGGTACTCAGTCAATGACCTGGTTGTAATATTGTGAAGGCAGATTGTGGCTTTCTTTTAGCTTTCTCTTGTAAAATTAGTTTCAGGAAGATAGTTCAGCACCAAATAATGACAAATTTAATAACACCCTTTCATAGTGTTCAATTGAGTGCAGTATTTCCATTTTCTGCAACTGTATACCTCTGCTACACTGCATTTCAAAATCTTTAAAAAAAAAAAATAATACTCTGCTATATTTTCTGATAAGACTTTAAATGAATTAACATATGGCAAGCTTAGCAAATCCCTTAACTACAAACTGCTCAAGTCAAGCAGCTCAACATCAGTAAACATGAAAAAGGAAATTACCTTAGTGCAATTGGCAGCTTTAGGCTCCAGGTCGTTGAGTGTGACAAGTTCCCGGAGCAAACTGCTCTCCTGGTAGCCTCCCTTCACTCCTCGAAGCTTAAAGTACGCCTGCGGTTTGAAAAGGATGAGCCTCAGGTTGATAGCAAAGCCAGCCATGTCGATGGCAAAGGGCCGATGGGGGTCGAACACCGTCTTCCAGCCATAGACCTTCCCAGCTGCGTTGACCTTCGGGGACTCGTACCGCAAACCACCCACAAAGGCCACAGGCCACACTGAAACTTTCCGAGTCGATCTCATCTGGTGAGAGGAAAGTGAAGAAGAGAAAATCGAGGGAAGAGAGTGAATTAGTCATCTGAAAAAGCGTACATGACAGCAAGACAGTATTTGAGCATTTGCTGTCAGCATTACAGCCGAACGGAACGGAGGGTTGTTAGAGCTGCTGCTATTATTCATTCTGAAAGACGGTGAATATTGACCAGGCCTTTGTGCCCTATGCAGCTGACATACTGGTAGATGAAGGCAGATCACACACACTGTTCAACAGCTCCCATACAATTAGATAATCAGGCACAGTCATCTTTAAAGGGAATCAACGCAGCCAGTGCCAAGAGAGTTTGAAGGAGCCAAGCCATTGCAGCAAGTGGCTGTGGTTGCTGGTTGTCTGAGAAGAATCTTTAAGGTAAAGTACCACCCCCCCCCTTTTTTTGTCCTTTAATCTTCCAGCATCAAACGATTTTGCCACCCTCTCCTTTGTCTGCTACTCAGCGAGTCTTTGCCATCCTGGCAAGAGCTGCCGCAGTCATAAAAGGTACGTTTTTATAATGTGGGAAGAGGAAGGTTTAGAAACAGCAGAGTCATTTAATCAAACTCAATGCAGCAGAAATAATGATGTTGGTGCCTCTCCAGTGGAAGGTCTTTTTAAAATAAAGGTGGGTGCAGGAGCATTTACGGTGTCCAGTATGTGTGTCTTCCATAGACACAGCAGGACAAAGCCCTAAGAAAATATCTATACACATAAGCTACATGCTTATTTGTTGCATGCATTTTGTACAAATCGCATGCTCATGTGCCTTTTGCACATGAGCTGCTGTGTTAGATTTGTTTGTGATCTGATGGTCTGCTGTGTAGTCAGGTCAGGTGATCAGAGAGGAGTAGAGTTTGAACAGGATGAAGCAGCCTGGGGGCTTATGGAAATCCACAGATTTGAGCTTCAGGGAAAACAACCGAGTCAAACAGATAAGATTTGGCAGGATCTTAATGAGCTCTGGGTGTTAAAGGTGAAAGAGATTTTGTGCTTATGTGCATATGTTCATATGAGTGTTACTATAATTTCTGAAGGAGGGTCATATTTTTCAGCCATCTTTAATCACACGTTATCTCCTCTTATATTGTTTCCTGCATAAATGCCAGTGTTTAGTTGACAAGGAGGAAGGAAGGAAGGAAGGAAGGAAGGAAGGACGGACAGACGGACAGACAAGAAATCCCAAATTCTAACAGAGAATAGATGGCAAGCATCCAGGTACATTAATCAGTAGTTAGGGGTTCAGGGAACATAACAAAACACAAGTGTAATCTAATACTGCTGTTGTAGTTTTTGCCCACACCGAAAAAAAAAAAAAAAAAGCAATTATTTAGTTTTTAAGATCCTAATTTCAATTATATTTAATTATTTTAATCATCCCTATGAAATTGTTTTTTTTTCAGTAATAAGCCAAATAAAACTGAGAATTCAAAACATGATTTGCATTGCAAATGCAGCCAGTTGTCCATCTAAATTTCAAATTGGATATCTTTTAAACATGTGATTAAGTAGAACAAGGCAGTAATGTAGAATATACAATACATATTGTACATAACTACATTGCAAATAATACATGCTGAACAGTGAATAAGTTTACAATTTGGAAAGAAAACCTAAGCATTTCTTAAGAGGCGTCAATAATTCATGTAGTTCTTCACAGCCATGTACTTTAAATGTGGAAAATTAATTTTTCATGAGGTTTTCATCAGTTTCCATTAATGCCTGACCTAAAAAATATGCATTTAATAAAAGACAGTATGTGTCAAAGTCACTACTACTAATACTAACTGCTGCTAGAATGAAAGACTGAGTCAGAGATTGGGATTCTTGATATAAACTGATGGCAACAATAGCAGTGAGCTCTATTGCACCAGAATCTAGCAGCAGAGGACAATGACTTGAGTCAGTTCTTTTTGTTTCTGTATAATACTGTATGAGGTGATGTGAGGTGGCCTGTCTCTGTGTCAGACTGTTACCGCTATTACCGCTGCTGCAATAAGAACTGTGGGTGAGCGTGCTTTGCAATTATCTATGAGCAAGTCTTTTAAATACAAACTACATTTTGGCTTGATTAGTGTGGCAGCTTCAAAAATGCAACCTTTATTCCTGAAATTTACAGTTTTTGTATGTTTGACAAAAATTTTAATTAAGTTTCATTGTCGTTTAGATAAAGCTTTATTCTCCTTTCATTTTGAAATATTGGTTCAAATGCTGAAGAGACTGAAATAGGATCATGTGATTTGAAACAAAAATTAAAAATAAGTAAGTAAAAAAATAAATACAATTTAGCAAATTTAAATTAAATTACATTGCAATAATAAGTGTAATAATAAAATACAAATTAAATAATGGCGGCTATGACTCAGGTGGTAGAGCGGTTGTCCTCTGATTGTAAGGCTAGCGGTTCGATCCCCTGCCCCTCTGCAGTCCAAGTGTCCTTGGGCAAGACAGTGAACCTAAAGTTGCTCCCAATGGCAGGCAAGCACCTTGCATGGCAGCTCTGTCGCCACTGGTGTATGAATGTGTAAATGGGTGAATGAGAAAACATTGTAACGCACTTTGAGTGCCGCTAAGGTAGAAAAGCATGTATGTAAAATGTTTTATTACATTTATTACTACATTTTCATACGAACAACCAACACTGAAACTAGGATATACCTTAAAAATATTAGTAAACTCGTCATAACTTTATACCATTATGTGAGAGCAATGGGCATTGTAACTTATCTCATGAAATGCTCAAACATTTCAGAAAGTTTTTCTTTTCTTTTCTTTTTTTTATCATTAAATAAGACCAGACAGTTTTAATAAGAGACTAGAACACCCTGAATTGCTTATAATCTGAATACAATGCACAACTGAGGCATGACTGCAAAAGACTGACTGCTGTGGCATCTTTGCACTATCAACTGCTTTCAGTAAAGTCTGTGCTCCATGACAAATGAACTGATTACCAATTTATTAAGTTGCACATCTGTACTAAAGGGAAATTCTATGCTAATAACATGAAAAAGGTTCAGACTCTAATTTTCACCTCATTCAGGTACAAGACTAAGTCAGACTTTGAATTAGCATTAACTAGTTTAAATTATTATTATTTTACAGTTAGATTTGAAAATGTATTGCAATTACACAAAAGAACTAGTTCACTTTGCATTAGCCATGGAAAATACTGAAATGTACTTTCCTCTGCTCTGTCTAGCTGACTATCACATGCTCTTTTTCGCTCGATCTTTTTCTGTCTTTGGCTCTCCCTCACTCTGCCTCCATCTCTCTCTCTTGGTCTCTCTCTCTCTTTCTCTGCCCCTCAGGGCCGTTACTCTGGCCCATAAATAGGCCTGTTGGAGGTGATGGAGGGCCTCTGAGGGAGACGGAGCACTTTGGCTGATTCCCAGAGAAAGGTAATGACAGGCCCCGTCAATACCCAGCGCTCCATTTACTACGGGACCCCGTCTGCACTACTAACAAGACTTGAGGCTAATACTCGGAGGACCTAGACCATGTCCGCTCAGGTAATTCAACTGATGTCAAGATGGATGGCCTGAGATGTACTGATTACATGCCCAAACTTCTCTATACCAACTTCACATCCTTGGCTACGCTTGTTAAGAGCCAAAAAAATGGTTCAAGTAGCAGAGAATTTATAGTTCAACCAACCGTTACACCATACAGTATACACCACAGATTTTTTTTCATTTGTGTGCAGTGTCCTCCTGACAAATATACATACATTTCCCTTGCACCCACACAAATTACCCACCATCAGCTCTATACTTGGTTAGTTTTTCTGAAGTTCAAGTGAAGCATTTCAAAGATTGATGGAGTTAAGACTGAAACTTTTTGTTTTTTCATCACTGGTGCAGAGCTGGCAATATTTTTGAGTAGGCGATAGTGCTGTGATTCATTGGCCCACCAAACAGGAAGGTTACTTTTAGGTATAAGCATTTAGATGGTTACACTTGAAAATAGTTTAGAGGTCAGATAAAGGGGAACACTCAAATCTATAAGAACACTTACACAGTTATGATGGAACTCACATTTTCCCACTCACAAGAATCCTACAGCCACATATTGTCAGTGTTTCTCCTGACCACACTGCTGATGCAACAGTTCACTCATGGCAACTTGTGAAGTTCTTTGCCAGATTTGTCAGTTTTTGTTTTTTTTTTTTAATGTTTTTTATCTTATGTTTCTTTAGTGATGCAAAATATAGGATTTTTTGAGATATTCAATATGTTAAAATTTTCCAACTCATTTTGGCTGATTGCAGATACCGATACATGCACATATTCATTTTATCATGATGGCCTACTAGCGGTTACAGTGATATAATATGCCCCTTTTTATGCTCACCAACATGCAGCATTGAGCATTAGTTTGTATCATCTTATTTGTCTGCCAATGATCATTTTGGGCCAATGCCAATATTTAAATTTTAGAAGCTTTACTGACTGGCTGGATAATACAAACATGCTGATATGATCATAAAGTCCTAATTTTTTTTTTTTCTTAAAAAGAAAGAAACTAAATTTACTAAACTAACTGCTTAAATGTTCACAATTAAGAGAAGTGATTTAAGTTTGTGAGATGTTTTTTTTTTTTTAAAGCATAGTTAATTACAAGGAATATCTTGATCCCTTCAAGCCACTTAAAGTGCTTTTTAACTGATTAATATAATCACAAACCTAAGCTTGATACTTTGGTTTATGTCCACTGTCCCACAGATGTCAAATGTAAATAATTCATTAATAAATGCAGCATTATTAATTAATAATTGATCAGTAGACACTGTGGGATACAATGGTGGCTGTAACACTGCAGTTAATCCCAGCTTAAGTTAAGATGTGCAGTGGCTGGGCATCATTAAGTGTCACAAAAGTCTTTGTCGTGGTGCTCTTTTACTGGCAAAATCCTCACAATGCTCGCTACTTGCAAACATGTAACTGCCTGCCTCCTCTAGTTGCTGCAGTATTAAACAGGAAAAAATACACAACCAGGTACTTCAGCTAATCTGCAATACTGTAAGTACATATTGTCTTGGGAAATAATATAGGGTATTGGCAGGAACTGAATATTAAATGACTGATCGGGGCAAGAAAAACAACAAAAAACCTGATGGGAACTTCCCTATTCAGGACAATAAAGTGTTTAAGTTCTAGTGCTTATTTTTGATCAATTGGCACAATATATGTTTCTATGCTTATACACTTTGCCCTCCTTTGGTGTGCTAATTTACAATTGCAGAGATTTAGCAAAAAAATGCATGAAGTGAGCACAGCTGATATGGCAGCCACAGTGACGTGGTGTAACAGCACTAACCTCCTCAAACAGCTCCAGGCTGTATGTATTGTCATCGTCAGCAAAGTAGACAATTCCAGCTTGGCTGCTGTTGGCATTAAAGGTCTCCCTCAGCCAACGTAGAGCCAGATTCCTCTGCATGGTCCCTCTGGGGATTCTGGGGTCCCGAGTGTCACCTCTCAGCTTATAGTTCCTGGGTGTCTCTACATTGAGGTGGGTGTAGTTTAGCCCTGTTTCTCGGAGGAGTCGCGTGACAAGAGGTGTTCTCCTTTGGGAGTCCTCCACCAGGATCCAGTGCAGGTTGGGGACATGGAGGAAGGTGTTTGCTAGCCGTGTCAGCTCTGCCTTCTGCACGGGTCGACTGTATGTGGGGGTGATGATGTGGATTGTAGGCAGCACATCGGACCAGGGTGGAGGCCTTGTATACACATACTCTGTCCTCACCACCTCCACAATGTCCTTATCTGAGGCACAGTATTCCTTGGAGTCCTGCGCCTGGCCACCTGCCTCCCTCTTGCCCTCAACACCGTCATCTATAGATATGGGGATAAGAAGACATGTAAGGCATTAGTGCAACCTTGAGCTGCCCTTTGTATATTTGCCTCAGGTGACTTAAACCCAATGGGGGTAAAGTGTACCTGAGAGCCGGTGGTGGCGGACTGCAAGCCTCTCTGGAATGATAAAGATCTCTTTTACTAGGTGGTGACAGGCTGCAAAAAGTGAAAGCAGGCACCGTGAGAGAATAATACAGCTGATGGACAGAGAGACAGCGCAAGACAAGGGAGGGGAGAGCTGGCCTCTGCTATTACTCCAGTGTTGCCTTTGGGCTTGTCTTAAATAAAGAGAAAAATGTGGGTATGTGGATCTGGTGGACATGCTCTCTTTTTATGTCCAAACTCCACCACAGACTCTCTTCCTCTGCCTTTCCCATTAAAATTCTATAGTGTGCTAGGACACTTTCCTCAAGTTACTATATTTTGTTGAATTAAAGAGGTTCTAATGTTTTTTAAAAAAATGTATTTTGCTTCAGAGATGTATAATGTGTGTAAAATTTCTGTAATTACAGTGAGGTGGGTCTTTCATGTAGGATCATTACATGATGTTGGATTTTACGGAACACAAGCAAAAGCAGGTTAGATCTCTGGTACTGTATTCGGGCTCATAGATAACCCCACAAATAAGGGTCAAGACTCTTGCTAGTTATTCCACTGAACTCAAAATGTGTAATGACTTACAATGTTTGACTTCAGTAAATTTTAAATGTTTCCTTTTTTTTATTTTTTTAGGAGATCTGCCTGGAAAAAAAAAAAGACTTTAATGCTGGGAGGCAACTTTTGTTGGTACTTTGCATCTTCACTGCATCCATGACCTGTACAGCCAGAGCCACAGACTGTGTGCATGAAAACTATCGTAATAATAGACAAGCAAGGTTTCTTATGAAAGTGTTTTCATAAGAAACCTTGTGTAGGTTTTAGGGCACATTGTACGTAACTTAACAGCAGGCTGAAAAAGCAGTGTTTCACCATCCTCTCTCTGCTTCACCTCTGACCAATGCTAGAATGGTACAGCTGAGAATCAATACACACAAATAAATCTTCACTAAGTCTGTAGTTTGTGCTACTGCAGTAAATGGTATCTACATGACACACTATATTCTTTCTATGCATAACAATTTAACACTAATTTTGAAAATTGTGACTCTATTCAAGACCTGCATGTAAACAGGAGTGAACCAATCAGTTGAATGCATTTTGAGTTGACTCCAGTGTTAAAGGCTGTGATAGTTTGGCCTTGTTTGGTCATGATGGACAGGACCATGATTATAGCATCATTGAGGTGGTTAATTTCTTTTCATTGTGCCACAGCTAATAGCAGTCTTTGTCACTGTTCTGCTCGAGCTCCATTTGCACCTCCAGCATAAAGAGGATTTTTCTGCAGCACATAGATTAACACAATCTGCTGATGGCCAGATGTTCAACAGAAGCTGCCAAAGAGCACAGTGCCAAAAAAAATCCCAAGCTTCTCTTTTAGGATCACACAAAAAGAAGCCTGTGGACTGAGTTTGGTCAGATAGCAGTGACTAAAAATTATTATTATTTTCCAAATACTTTATTGTGTTTTAAGTGTATCCTGTGATACAATAAAATTACTTGAATGTATTTAACTGAAAACACCTTTATGGTCATATTTTGATATTTGTTGAGGGGAAAAGCCGTATGCTTTCTAATGATTGCTTCCATGAAAGAAATTTTACTCATTTTACTGCAAATAATGTACCAATTATCTTGATATATAATGTACAAATAGTCTTGAATAAACCTGTTTTGGTTGTTAACCCCTGTATATGCATTCACAGCAGGAATGTACATACAGGGGTTCCACACACATAGGAAGAGGGTAAATAGCTCTATTGATTTGCCGTCGCTCTAACTTGGGTGTGTTTGCTCGGCAGCATTCTTGACATTTTACACTGTTTGTTTGTGGTCTCAGGAGATGATCGTGAAAGTCATGAGTATGGTATGTATTAATGACTTAGACCAGTGTGCAAATACGATAACTATTAATGTCATGTAAATTTAAGATGAAGTTAAATTCAAGGACACATGTATTATTTGAAATTACTGAATTACAATTTGCATTGAATTTACATGAGTGACAATGGTGGAGCGTTTAAATCTAAATGGATCAAACACTTGATTGACATGCTGCTGAATAATGCATGCTGCATGTCACACTAAGAAGAAAATAATGGATTGATGGTTCAAGCAGCTGCAAGGTGACTCGATGGTTAGCACCGTTGCCTCACAGCAAGAAGGTTGCCGGTTCACGTCCTGGTGAGGACACCCGGGATCTTTCTGCGTGGAGTTTGCATATTCTCCCCGTGCAGCGTGGGTTCTCTCTGGGTTCTCCGGCTTCCTCCCACACAGTCCAAAAACATGTTGAGGTTAATTGGTGATTCTAAATTGTCCATATGTGTGAATGTGATTGTGTCTGTCTGTCTCTAAGTGTAGCCCTGTGATAGACTGGTGACCTGTCCAGGGTGTTCCCTGCCTTCGCCCTAAGTCAGCTGTGATAGGCTCGAGCCCCCCGCGGCCCTAGTGAGGATTAAGCGGTGTATAGATAATGGATGGATGGTTCAAACCATGTGAATGGACAAGCAGGGTGGACATACTGCACTAGGCAAGTTATTTTTAAAATGAAAAATAAATGCAGATTAGAGGCAGCTAAATAATTCAGTGAAACTCACAGACTACGTATATTAAACAAATACATCATACTAAATGCATAACAGTGGGTACGTGATGGTAACTTTCAAGTCTTTCTCACTTACATAAACCATCCACTCTGAGGTTTACTGTGACTGGAAGTGTTACTGAGCTCTGATGAAGCCGATGGTCATGGCAAGTGAGTGCCTCTACACAAACGGCCTGTTGTCTAAACCTGAAGTGCGTTGTTAGGTTCGAGGACCCACTTCAAGTATGATATTGCCAGTGGAGTGCAGTGCACTGCATACCCTTGCGGATGGCGAGGAGTGGAGCAATAGCGCTTTGGTGCCAAACAGTGATGAGCAGAGTCCAGGGTAACACGATCAACACGATGGCAAGAATATCTCTTCTCTTCGGCATCTCCAGGATTGGTTATTTGGCTCGGCATTACCTGGAGCGAAAAAAACAAACAAACAAAAAAAACCCCCCGATGTGTTATCATTCTGCATTTCATAATGCAAAGGATTTGAGGTAAAGTCACTGTAAGAACCTTGAAAAAGAAAAAAGAAAAATTTGTATGTTTGCACAAACATTTCCACAAACTTCCTACACCAGATTCTAGGAAACATATGTGAATTGCAGTTACTTAGAAACTGAAGCACATCCAGAGGAATTAACTAACATTAACTGCATTAGAGACAACATAGAAGGCAGTGGTGGTCACTCATATTTAAGTATCAAGGTGGCTTGAAGCAGAGTAAAAACTCCACTGACATAGAAAATGATTGTTTACACACTGTTCACACACTAATCACAATATATTTCCACAGATGCACCAGCATAACAGCCTCATATTTTCCAGCCCAGTGGATAAGAATGAAATGAAGTAGCAGGTGAATGCTGTAAAATATGCATAGAAGTTAAAAAAAGGGGAGGAAAGTTTGATCATTTGCAGTGTATAACAACTAACAAAGGGAAGGTCAAAGCTACTGGAGGCGGTGGCAATGGATCAGGAGCTTGTGCTCTCTGCCAGCCTGATGAGCTCATCGGTGCCATCACTGAAGACGGGGTAGTGACTTCGTGCCTGATGCTGATTCACCAGCCAAATGGCAGGAAGCGATGTCACCAGACTGCGGGTTGACTGGCAAATGTTCCTTTCCCTCCGAGTCCAGATCATTTGGTTCAAGCTTTGTATCCCTTTGAAAAATGTAATTACAGCATGAAAGGCATTAATCACACATTAAAGGCACAGTGCAGGGGTTCTCAAACTTATTACTCAAAGGTCTGAATCAGATTTTTATTCAAGATTAGAGGTCCAGGACATGCGGTGAGAACAAAATAATATTTAATAAAGTCAGGAAGATCTTTTCAACATTTAAGTTCAACACAGTCAGGAGAGTCTTAAACCTGGTGGTAGAAATGGCCTGTAATCAGTTGCATCAGTGTAAGTATGCAAATAAGTGCTGCAAAGGATTTTACAGAAAAATAACATGCATGCAAAACAATAAACATTAAAATGACTAAATTAATAACCAATGAAAGCAATCAGCATAAAATGTATCCCTGAATTCTGATGTGTGATTGCATTCTAAACATCACTTCTCTTGTCACTGGGCCAGCACAAAACTGAGGCAGATGCCCCTCATACAGTCAGTCCACATCATATTTCTGAATTTAACCTTTCTTACAACTGTATTAACACTAGTTATAGAAATTGTTTACTGGAGAAAATTAAACATGGCGGCATGACATGGCAGCCTCTGTTGAAAAGAACCTGCTTACTATGTGGAGATGAAAATGCTAATTTAAAGCTAATGAAAACACAATGATTTGTAGTTACAGGTAAATATACATGAGTGAAATCATATTGCATTCCATTTCTGCAAATAGATTCTCCTAAATCCTACACATGGTAAACTTACGACACTAAACACTTTTTAAAAAAAAGAAGAAAAAAAAACAAAACAAAAAAACACTGTCACTGTTTTCAGCTGACCCTTTACAGAAAGACATTTGTTAATGTGGTATTCTTTAGACACCTAGCTATTTATTCAGTTAAGGATGTATTCCTCTGCCTTGCAAATAACCACTAAGTTGCAGGTTGCCGTAGAGCAGAGAAACTGCTTAACAGAGCTAAAGTTCCTGTTTTTGCAAAGCTGTGATTGGACAGTTGCTGTTATATTACCGGTTTACCCAATTGCAGTCAAATGCAAATGATTTATATGAAAGTTGTGGAGTTAAAAATGACTGTCCAGCATCTAAACACAACTACAACAGGCATGCTTCATAATTTCTATGCTGTAGTCTGCCAGAATTTATATCGTAACTATTGGTATACAACTTGAAAAAGTAAAAACTGATTTGAATTAATACCTCTAATGCAGTCTCTATAAACATTGAGTTATGTTTCACAAATATAGAAACCTAATCTGTTTTGCATAGCATCATTATAATTCAGACTTCTAGTTTCAAGAATTTCTTTGTAATAGGACAATGGTATGAAGTAGTTAGCTGTACCATGACATGTTTCGGCGTTCCATCTGTCGCCTTCTTCAGAAGTGTCATCTGACGTGTGTGACGAGTCTTTATCAGCTGTTTTTCCTAGGTGTGGCCAAACTGACAGTTCCAGAGGGTGTGTGAGTTTGGCCACACCTACCGCCGCGCGGTGGTCTCTGGAGCAGAGCGTCCCAGGTGTGGGATGGAAGGAACGCTCCATCATCTCTATTGATGGTGTGTGATCCTCGCTCCCTGATCTATCCAAACATGTCAAGGTACAGCTAACAACTTCATACCATTGTCCTATTACAAAGAAATTCTTAAAACTACTTGTGCTTTGAGGACAAAATGAACATCTTTGCTAAATTCAGACTTCTGTTATTAGCTAAATTCTCTGTCCTCCTTTGCTCATTTACATTGACTTTAAAGACAACAGACCTGCACAACCCTCCTAGGGTCTGTCTCTCCTTACAGGCTTTGGGCATTATGCCAAACCCGAACTGGAAAAATGCAGTTATTAAGTGATCTGCTCAATTAAACAAAGGAGAAAACAGACATAATGTGGGCACAGGTGTTTGGTGCGTTCATTTCAGCTTTACACATGAGGAAACAAGTCATCACATTTCCCATGGTGATCCGGCTCCCATTGCTGGAGAAGGTGGCAGTATATTGAGGATTAACATAATTGTACATGCCAATTATGTTTATTGAGCTCTGTAAATAAACATCATTAATGCCTAAGCCTTGTGTGAATAGTTCCGACACAAACCCTACACCACATAAATGCTTTCTGCCGATAAAGAAGTAGGTGCTGCAAAGCAGCATTTATTTTTTTCTGCTTCAGTGGAGAGGTGATTTACAGTGGAGCCCTCTTTAAAAAAAAAAAGAAAAAAAAAATTAATGTGCACAGTTCTGCTTCCTTATACCTAAAGATAGTAAAGTTGCACAGGAAACACCACAACTCACATTCCAAGTTCTTAAATGAATGGTAATTTCACAGATAAATCCACTGAATGCCTCCCTTTGAGACATATTTTTGAAGGTGCACAATCTTCACCAAAACCTTTGTTGAAGGTTTGACATTAAAAATGGTATTGCTGGATTTGTACATGTGAAATAAATTCTTTAGGCCTTGTCATCATAGTCTGAAAAAGCTATGTGATTTAAACAAGCAAAGAAACATGTCTATCAGAAGCAAATGCAGTAAAATTCTTAAGGGAGAAAAGCTTCTTGAGATGAATTCACCGTGCAATCTACAGTTAAATGCCTGCAGTGAGCACAAACCGCCTCCAGTATTAAACAGCTACCAATTAACCATTATTGCCATTGCTAACATTTTAAGTGAAATGGATTTCTTGACCATTATATTTAATTGAAGTAGCTATCTCTGTTAGCTTTATAATGATGGCTATCAAATCATAATTGTTTTAATGGAAGAAAAACTAGTCTGCAGTTGTAAAACTGAGCAAAAACACATCTCTACATCCCACTCTGACTGTACAGCAGGGTCACAAAGTGATGTCTTTTGCAGTCTGCCAGGTTGCACTGAATGCATATTAAACCCAAACAGCAAAAGTTTTATTTCAGTACCAGGTTTTGGTCATATGCATGACAGGCACACAATGGCATCTTTTGCTAGATCATCTTTGCCTTGAAATTTTTTTTGAAACCTCACACCTCAAGATCAGCTTTCTGTTCTGAAAATCTGTAGTCTCTAATTCCAAGTCAAGGTAATCATAAAGACATTACTATGTCATGAATAAGTTATTTATTATATATTTTTAAAGACTTGAGAAGACCTATTCAAACCAAACACATTTTCACATTTGGAGAAGTACTCCTCATCACCCTACAGAAGCCGAGAGCGGTCGTTTTCCGCTACTGTTCTTTCTTTGCCGTTTTCGCGAGATAA